GCCACCACGGAAATTACGGTGCACAAATTCGCCTAGTCTTCGTGCTTCTGGGCTTCGAATTCACTTGCGACTTTATTTATCACTGCGTTCTGGTTTTGTTTCGAATAAAAGACGGACCGTTGTCAACTTCGTGAACACGATGTGAATTGGGGAGCCTCGAGTGTTAAGTGCGGGGGAAGTGCAACAGCCGAACATGCGCTAATTTTCGTTTCATGACAAATCAGCTTCGAGCCACGCGAAGTCAGACGGAGCCGAAGACTGTGCAAATTTGTGTACTACCCGTAATTACCCTGCTACCATAGATACTTGCGCCGGAGTTCGCTCTAGTATATTTATAGGAAACTCTATGGTTGCACGTACAGAACGAAGAGGACGGGGAGGTGCCTTCATTTTTAGCTCAGTTGGTAACAGCCTGATTCGAAGGTGGTGTTTCAAATCCCACCGACGGAAAGGACGTTTTTTTTTTTTTTCGTCCACTTTGATTCATTCCCACTTACATCATGATTGCTACACTACAGTTAAAGACGGCACTTACTGTACTCAATGATTTCCGTCGCCTAGTTATCTGTTGGGTTCATTCTCTGTATAATGTTATCCAGAAGGATAAATAGCGATGACACAGATAGTCTGTTACTTGGCACTCAGGTTATTTCTCCCGTTATGTAGGAAAGTGCAAAAGTAAAATAAAAGTAGGTACGAGCAGCCAGATTGTATGGACTGTCTCTTCAGTTGGCGAGTCGAGAGTGGCGTTCGTTTCCGGCCTTGATTGGTGTTAACAAGACGCCAACACGCCGGGCTTTTGTGCGAGAGACGGGGACCGTTGTGAGGGACGGCAACTAAACAGACGAGGGGCTGTTGCAGAGATTGGAATTCGCATTGGGGAGGGAAGAGAGGGGCGGATTTTGAAGCCTCTGTGTTGGAAAACCATGAAGCAAGAAAGAAATAAAAAAATGTGCCGTAATATTGAAAAATAAAAGGAGTGACTATGTGCATCAGACGTGGTTTTCGAGTCTGAATACGCTGCAGTGCAGAAAAAGGTTTACGGTAGCGAATTCGAAAAAAACGTGCTCGGCCGGATAAAATAGTAATTTTGGGGGCTTAACATCCCAAAATCATGATGATAATGAGAAACGCCTTAGTGGAGGGTTCCGGAAATTTCGACTGTGTAGGGCTCATTAGTGTGCACTTCAAGCATTGTCGTCTCTCTCGAAAATGCATGCGAAAAACAACATCGTCACCCTCTACCAGTTGAATTTATTCGAGACATCTAGTGTACAGCTGGAATGAAATATCTTCGAGGTCACAATTGTGAATTGGATCTCTACGACAAGTTATTCTGGGCACCTTCTTGAGCACACACAGGAAACACAAGATACTACCTTCGTACCCTCTCATAATTCCGCCCTCGTATTCTACCTTCAGGTAGTGTGTGAGGACTTATTTGTCAACTACGAGCGGCCAAAACGATTACGCGTTACGTGACGTCTGCTAGCAAAACAAAAAAAGTGTCCCCCCCTTACTGTTCACCACTGGACCAGCAGAATGAACACTCCCAGAGGTCTCACGCAAATAGCTTCCTAAAATTAACTGTAGGGGGCTCTGACGCTGTGGCCGTTCAGCCACCACGGAAATTACGGTGCACAAATTCGCCTAGTCTTCGTGCTTCTGGGCTTCGAATTCACTTGCGACTTTATTTATCACTGCGTTCTGGTTTTGTTTCGAATAAAAGAACGGACCGTTGTCAACTTCGTGAACACGATGTGAATTGGGGAGCCTCGAGTGTTAAGTGCGGGGGAAGTGCAACAGCCGAACATGCGCTAATTTTCGTTTCATGACAAATCAGCTTCGAGCCACGCGAAGTCAGACGGAGCCGAAGACTGTGCAAATTTGTGTACTACCCGTAATTACCCTGCTACCATAGATACTTGCGCCGGAGTTCGCTCTAGTATATTTATAGGAAACTCTATGGTTGCACGTACAGAACGAAGAGGACGGGGAGGTGCCTTCATTTTTAGCTCAGTTGGTAACAGCCTGATTCGAAGGTGGTTGTTTCAAATCCCACCGACGGAATCGTCCACTTTGATTCATTCCCACTTACATCATGATTGCTACACTACAGTTAAAGACGGCACTTACTGTACTCAATGATTTCCGTCGCCTAGTTATCTGTTGGGTTCATTCTCTGTATAATGTTATCCAGAAGGATAAATAGCGATGACACAGATAGTCTGTTACTCGGCACTCAGGTTATTTCTCCCGTTATGTAGGAAAGTGCTAGAGTAAAAGAAAAATAGGTACGAGCAGCCAGATTGCATGGACTGTCTCTTCAGCTGGCGAGTCGAGAGTGGCGTTCGTTTCCGGCCTTCATTGGTGTTAACAAGCCGCCAACACGCCGGGCTTTTGTGCGATAGTCGGGGACCGTTGTGAGCGACGGCAACTAAACAGAAGAGGGGCTGTTGCAGAGATTGGAATTCGCGTTGGGGAGGGAAGAGAGGGGTGGGTTTTGAAGCCTCGGTGTTGGAAAAACATGAAGCAAGAAAAAAATTAAAAAATGTGCCGTAATATTGAAAAAAAAAAAAGGAGTGACTATGTGCCTCCGACGTGGTTTTCGAGTCTGAATACGCTGCAGTGCAGGAAAAGGTTTACGGTAGCGAAGTCGAACAGACATGCTCGGCCGGATAAAATAGTAATTGTTGGGGTTTAACGTCCCAAAATAATGATATGATTATTAGACACTTGAAACTTTGTCAATCAAAAACAATTTTTAACGCATATTTGAGGTAGACATCAGCACGTAAGTGGGTTTACTTACCTTTAAAATGCATAGATAACGTAATTTTAGGTACCACAGCGCTTATTACGCTGCGCTGACAATGCGATGATATTAACGAAAAAAAAAATGGTGTGTTTCCGACGCTTCGCTAAAAAGACCCAGGGCTGTTACCTACCAGTGGCTCTGCGTTTTATAAAAATAAACTTTTCAAAGACGATAGTCTTTCTAGGGGACCTTCGGCGCAAAAAATTTAATATGTCTGTCTGTCTGTCTGTCTGTCTGTCTGTCTGTCTGTCTGTACATTTGTCTGTTTGTCCACTCTAAACGGCACCCTAAACGGCACTAAAATGATCAAACAATACTCCACACGGCCGACCCCATCTGCTCAAGGTTCAGCGTTCATACCTGTGCGGTTGTCAATTAAAAATCAATTATTGCGCATATTTGAGGCACCATAACAACACGTCAATATTATGTATGTGTATTTTTTACTAGCAAAGGCATACATAAGTAATTTTAAGGATCGTAGCCTTTATAACGCTGCGCTGGCCATGCAACGCTTGCACGAAACGGCACGTGTTTCGAACGCTTTGCTAAGACGACGCGGTGGTGGCACCTATCCGTCGCCTTGCGTTTTACCCCTTATCACCTCTGAGATGTGCGCGCACGCACGTCTCATGAGCGCTATCTGGCAGATAACTGCCAGATAGCGCTCATGTCTGACATCTGACGTGACTTCGAAGCGCTCGTTCGCCTCCGCTGCATGCTCTAACGCAGCGCTTGTAGAATACCATTCAACGATTTTCTTACGCAGGACATCGAATAAACGTTTTGTTTACTCTCTCCAGACGCAAGATTATTGTCTTTCGACAATATTTGCGGTGTAATACGCAGATACAGTGCCAATTTTTTTCGTGAAATTACTACCAGATGGCGTCCATATCTGACGCGACGCCTCCAGAGAGAAGAATATCGCCTTCCGACTACCTTTGCCAGCGAGACGCGGAGATACGTGGCCTGTTTTTTTTAAAATATTTTTATAAATAATTACACGTGTTTCAAGCCATTCATTCTCAGCCCATGCACGTCCCCTCCGAGGCCATGTTTTGCGCCGTTAAGGCATGAAGCCGATGAAGAAACGCCAGAGCACATCGTTTGCTACTGCCCTGCACAGGCTGCTGAACAGCACGCGATGTTGAGCCGTTATCACCTGCTTGGTATCCCTGCGACTCCTGCGAAGAGCTTCCTTTTCCCCGCAAGGTGAAAGATACCTGCCGTGCGAGCGTTCCTCGAGTTTGCGGTTCCTGCAGACGGCGCCGCCCTGTAGCCGGAGGCTTTGCCTTCGTGCTCCCCTCTGCGCTGACGAGACTCTTGTCATGCCTCTCACTCATTGCTTTCTTCTCTTCCTGTCATACTTACGTTCCCCTTCCCATTCACAAAGGCGCTGAGGCGTTCCCCCACTACGGGAGCCAGAAAATTGCGTCCTTTTTTTTCCTTTTCCCCAAGCCCATCTCTCTTTCTCTCTCTCTCTCTGTCTCTCTCTCTCTCTCTCTAGAGCGTAGGATAGAGCAGAGGGCGTTACGAATAGTTTTTCTTTCCAAGGATGGTTGTGTGGCATGTATTCAGAGTGTTTCAGCTAACTTGCACCTATCATTTAAAAAAAAAAATGTGCTACGTGAGTCTAATTTACTAAGTACTGTTATTAGCCGTATTCAACTCGTCAAAACAATTTGCGCAATCGCCAAGCTTTGGAAAATAATGAACATTACCTAATTAGCTTTTTAGTAAGTGACTTTTGCTCAGTATTCAATACTTAAGTTTGAGCGCTTGTTATAAAACAACGGGATATTTCATCCATGCTAAGAACTGTCATTCCGTGAAGTTGGGTAATTGGCATAGAATGCCTAATTAAATCTTCAAAGCAGTAACTCGCACAAAAAATATTGAATTGAAAAGCAGTAATGCTCCTCACGCAACGCCGCATTATTTCGTCTATGCTCAGACAACTTCCCTGTTTATTTTCTTTTTTTTGGAATGGAGGGGGGGTCTTTATGCTTGGCGCAATTTTGCTGAAACACCGTGTATCTATGTAATGTCACTTTTCTTCTTTGCGTCTTGGAAAACTGTAGCCTGTTAAAGCGGCCTTCGTGTTTTTACATTGAAATCGGAGCGTGGGCTTTGTCTTTCGACGTCTCAAGCTGAGGCTTCTCTTTCGCTTTGTGCGCAGTCACTGCTATTGGTGGCTGCACCGGACGAGCCTGGAGCGGGCGCTCACCGTCACCTGCGTCCTGCTGCTCGTCATCACCGCGGTGCTCCTCGTCATCCACCTCATAGCCGCATCGTCAGGTGAGTACCGGTCGTTTCCGCTACGTGGTACCTTAATGAAGAAGTGTTAGTGAAAAAACAACAACTTTGGTTTGTGTCCTAAACTAACTAAAGACAGAAAATCTTTGAGATTCGCGGCTGGAGTGAAGGTATCCGAGATTAGTGGGGCGAGGTGTCCCTACAGCACGAGGAAATATTGCTCTCTAGCGCCTAGCGCATAAGTCTTGTGAAGACACTGTTGGGACTCCGGGTCCTGCCGGTCTCGTTTTCGGTAGCTGGCCCCGTCGCAGGATCCATCGTCCAACAATTCAGCAAGAAGAAGCGCCCGAACGAATGACAGAGGTTTATTTACATGTGGAGAAGTGGTCAACTGACCCAAAGAGAGAAGAGTGAGTGTGATACAAAACGTCTTCGGCATTTTATAGCGCCACGTTGTTGACACTGGGCGCCTTGTCCGCATCGTCAGCCAATACGGTGTCCCCGGCACCTCGGCCACGAGAGAGGGGGAAACACCTCTCACAACACATGGAGTGGCACAACTTAACACGATCTCCATATATGGTCACGGCGCCCTAAAATGTTACCAAACATGGTCACGAACGCACAGCAGATGCCGGAGTTCTCCCGGCGAGAGGAGGAGCCTGAATGGGGAGGGGGGGGGTGGACGACCCCGTCGGTCAAGAACCGGTTCTCCCCCAAATTCTTCTTGCTTGGTTCCCTAGGGCCGGTCGTAACAACGCCCATGCCTGATGCGTAGCACATATCCATGCATGAAACCATGTGTGCCTCTTAACTCATTCTACTTCATTTAGTTCCATGCACAGTAATGGCGCGTAAAGTATCACTTTAGGGAGAGAAAGGGGCATATATCGAGTTTCAGAACAGCACAATAAAAGTAGTTTGTAACTGTTTTTTTAATGAATAGAACAAAACAAAGTCGCATGCGTCAGTACGATGACGAATTGTTTTTGCAGCTAAGGGCGCACCTATTTTCGATGAACTTTTTCTCGATCTGAGAAAACTATGTACTCTATGTGAAAGTGCAGTCATTTGTCATTGTGCTTTTCTCTGTCACACTTCGTCCAATTTTCCATTATCTCTCTGAAGTGTATAACGTTTTCCATGTCCACCACTCTTCATTTTACCATCATGAAGTTTTTATCCTTTTGCCGCGTGTAATGCCATCATCTGTATTGAGATCTCACTCTTGGCCACGGCTCTATAAGCTTACGCCAAAAGACGAGGGCCTGTAAGCCTTAACTAACTAACTAACTAACTAACTAACTAACTAACTAACTAACTAACTAACTAACTAACTAATTCACTCACTAATTCACTCACTAACTTTCAAAAAACTAACTAACCAACTAACTAACTAACTAACACTTGCTGAACAATTGCCCCCTTAATTCATGTGCATGTGCGCTCTAGGTCACGACATAATTACATACAATACCTTACATAACGCATTTCTTGTCACATTGTAATATACAAAAAACGTGCATTGAATTTCCAACTCTTCTAGTGAGTCGTCACGCAGCTTATGTAATAACGAATTATGAAGCTTGTTGCGATTTCCAAGCCATGCACTCGCTCACATGCACATAATACGCACATAAGCTTCAAAATTTATTTTTTAAAAAAAGGAAGAATTTATTTCCGTTGACTCGATGTTACAACGCAACAGCCTTCTTGGTTTTAAACGTCATGATGAAAGTGGAGCAAGGCATGTTTTCTATCGCGCCGTACTCGTACATGGACTCAGTGTGGGGCGTCTCAAATTGCTAGCAGTTTCCATGGCAGCCTTGTCAGAATCGTGCATTATATTTACGTTATTGCGTCATCGTAATGTCACTATTAAGTTTTACGCCTTAGTTCCAGTCGTTTTGCTACTTGAATTATTCCTTGAAATAGTCACGTGTTTACACTTTGATGAACGTTTCAAGTACTAATTGACTGGATACTTTTGAAAAACGGTTTTCTCATTGCCATCTTGAGTCATTCACTCGTGTAGAGTTGTGCGCTAGAATATCGCAGTGATTCGGTGACACAGATTATGAATAAGGAGAGAAATAAATCCGATAACATTTTTGGAAATGTAAGCCTTCTAAGATGGTATGGAAAAACAAACATAAAAACAGCAAGAAACAAAAGATTGCACAAAGTGCTCCGGAAACTGGCGGCTTCTTCCGAACGTCACACATATAATCAGCTTCATCGGTAACTTGGATTTCAGTAAAGGACGCATACTTGCAGGTCGTCTGATACTACAATAAAGGATAACACGCACTAACAAGCGATGTTTTTTTATTTTTTTCGTGAGACACGTCATGATATCTTTCACGCTTGAAAAGAAATACAAAAACGACAAAAAACAACAACTGTGATGCAATAACCAGAGAACGTCCACCACATAGTGATAGAGCATTCTACTCGTCGACACGCAATGACATAATTATTCAAAAAACGCAGATGGTGTAATGAGGAAAACTTCCAAGCCGATTCGAAGACATTTTGCAGTGCTTTAAGGCACTTGGACGTTTTCTATCTTAGCGTACAGTTGCCACTTGCAAAAATTCGATTAACATTTCCACGTGCAACGAACCATACCAAAGTTAATGACATCTTTCACAATCTCTTCATGGGTTAACTCACGCCTACGTTATATCTTGCGTATTCAACGGCACACGATGCCCTGCGCTGCTTCTACAACATACGAACCTCTTAATTTTTGTCCCGTTGCCACGTCCGCTTACATTTATGGCAGGATCGCGCGGTATTTTCCGCTCCATGGATACCATGCCATCTATGGGAAATTGAAACGCCATATTTTTTCGTCGTGTTATCATTTTAAATTTAGCGTTTGATGGGGCATCCAATTGATTGATTGATATGTGGGGTTTAACGTCCCAAAACCACTATATGATTATGGGAGACACCGTAGTGGAGGGCTCCGGAAATTTCGACCACCTGGGGTTCTTTAAAGTGCACCCAAATCTGAGCACACAGGCCTACAACCTTTCCGCCTCCACTGGAAATCCAGCCGCCGCTGCCGAGATTCGAACCCGCGACCTGCGGGTCAGCAGCCGAGTACTTTAGCCACTAGACCACCGCGGCGGGGCAGGGCGTCCAATACTTTAGCCTTAACAGTGTAGCAGCGGCTAGTTAAGGTTTAACAAATATTTAACAATCATGAACCATTATGCAGCCAAATCAGCAATATTATCTCGTGCCAACGAGTGCTGTAAGTATGCAAGCAAAATGCAATCGCTGAAGTCACAGAATTACGCAATACGCTTTGTTAGACTCCGTAGCCTTCTGTATCGGCCTACATTTTTCATCAAAATTGGTGCATCACATCCTGTTACAGAACGCTGTTAAAACGAAGCTACGGGGGAGCTCTGGAAGAGCCATAGTTGGCTACCTTAGCAAGGCTAAACCTGCCTGCTACATACGACACGCCGGCTCTTATCTCTCCTTTTTTTTTAGGGGCGAAGCTCCTTAGGGCGTGGGCTGTGCGTCCCCTGTAGCCTGTATGTAGCCACCTCTAGTTTAGTTCTTGCAGTGTTCACTAGATGGCGGTACCGTCCCCTGTATGTAGCCACCTCTAGTTTAGTTCTTGCAGTGTTCACTAGATGGCGGTACCGTCTCCTGTATCTAGCCACCTTTCGTTTAGTTCTTGTAGTGTTTACTAGATGGTGGTACTTGTAGCTGATGATGAAAAGATGCAAGATGTTATAAACTAGAAAGCGGTACTTGTAGTTGATGAAAGACGCGAGATCTTATAAAATAGGAATGATGTCACATATGGCGCGTGTCATTGGTTGAAGGCAATCGTTCGATTTAGTGCGGCGACGTACGCTAGGGGGAGCGATGTAATAAAATCGAATGGGCAAAATGTACAGAGGATTCATGGTTTACCAGGTTTACCTCCGGAGCTTCGCCCACTCATCATCATTCACTTCGTGGATATGGCGGAATTTTTTCTCCTTTTTGTCAACAAAAGGGGCATCGGCGATCGATATTTGGCAAGTTAATGCAGAGAAAAACGTCGACACGAATAAGGCGCGAGTGTGGACGGCGCAGACGCTAGCTTGTCTCCCACCTGTAAAGGGTGCATCGCCGCTCGCAAGCTTGCCTTGAGGCAAAGCAAGCTAAAAAAAAAGCGTTCGAGTCGTGGACAAAAAGTACTGGAAGATTGAGCGGGCTTCGTGCAACGGGTGATAACTAAGCACGCATACGCGCGCACGTAACTTCGTTAGATTTTAGCCTTATGACACAACCGCCCTGTTCCTGATTAAATGAACTTTTCCTGATTAAATGAACTTTTCTTGCAAATCCATCGGGCTCGCGTTTCAGCGAGTGAAGCCGGGTCGCAGGAGGCTGCGCGTGTTCACCTAACGAGATTGAAGCTTCGGCGTAAAAAAGATTGCCGTGTGCCCTGTTGGAAGGACCTTTTACAGTAGCGTGCGGAGGAGCCTATCCAGGCCCTTTTGTGTATAATGAATATGTTTGAGCGGTTATGGAAAGCTTCTACCTCTCTCATATTGACGTTGGTCAATCTTGCTACTGCTTCTCATAATATTGTGTTTAAGCTACTAATTTGAACGCGAAACAATGTTGTAGCCTCGATAACTACAAGATAATGAAAAGTCTTTGTTTTAATTTGTTTTAAATCAGGTGAAGTTAATTGTCTATTTGAGGTGGCTTTATGTTTAAGCTCCGGAGGCGCACATCAGCCGTGCGTGGTAGGAAAGTTTCAACAAAGCGTAGCGCCTGTTTAAACATGGGTTTTCATCGTAAAAAACATAAATAACTAAATAAATGAATAAGCCTGACGCGATACGTCATTGATAATCGTTACACATAGATAGATAGATAGATAGATAGATAGATAGATAGATAGATAGATAGATAGATAGATAGATAGATAGATAGATAGATAGATAGATAGATAGATAGATAGATAGATAGATAGATAGATAGATAGATAGATAGATAGACAGACAGACAGACAGACA